TCAGTGGCAGGGAGGCCACTGAAAGCGACTGCAATGTACGGTCGTACGTCGGCTAGCTCAGTACGTTTAACGCATGCGCGGCACCGTACAGGTGCAGTACGGAGGATGAACGGCACCGTACAGGTTCAGTACGGTACGGAGGATTAGTGGCCACGGCCAGTCAGAACTCGTAAATTGCTGGGCCGAGTTGTGGTCCCCCCTGTAACCCGCGGCAACGTCCCACTTGCACGGATTAGGAGATTTCGGCCGTTTATCTTTGCTATCTACGGTCAGTATCTCTTAATCCGTGCAAGTGGGACCTAGACCCCGTAGCAATGCGGGAGCACCAGGCCAAGTCGAAGAGGCTGCTCAGGTCCTCCTCTGCTGAGCCCGGCCTGGACACACACAATACATTTCCAATAAATAGACCTCTCTCAGGTTGAGTTCTCAGACAGGACCATCATAGTGCAGTAACCGTTGGTTAGGTGTTTGCCTGCCGAGCCGTTGGTTGTGTGTTCGAGTCTTGTATTCGGATTACGCACACACACACACACACACATCATAGTCCTCAGACTTTCATGACTCGATTACGTTGCCGCATTACGGTTGAGACCCTTCAATTTCCCTCAATTTCACAATACTGCCAGAGGCCTACAAACAGTCGACATATGTGTCATAACATATGATCATGGCATAATAGAATCTACAAAACAAATTCCATAATAAATTAATAATCTCGAATTACCTGGGGCCGGTCACGTGTGGACAAATCTGAAGACAGCCGTCCTTCCAAAAAAAAAAAAAAAAAAAAAAAAACGAGGCTTATTCCCCCAGTTTACTAGTACGTCCCGATGACGTCAGGACTGAGGGGGACACCGTCACAACTCGGCAGCAATCAGAAGAAAAAGAAGAAGAAGAAAAAAAAAAGTAACTGGGACCATCTGTCTGATTACCGTCATCACCGGAATAGAACGGACGGTCATTATAGCTGTATTTGGGGCACCTTCCAGTCCAGATGCAGCGATAATGACCGGCCGTTCTATTCGGGTAGAAACGCTAGTATTCCAAATGCAGTAGCTAGCGGGCATCTGGTGACTGGTCTTCTTCAGAAATATTATTTGGGGGGTACTAGGGGGGTACCTGATTTGTATTCAGATTGGGGTGCGGGCTGGGGGGACGGTGGGGCTGCCCATCACGAAGATTGGTCCATGGGGATGCTGCACCCGTTTTCCAGCATAAGCCGAAGTCGGGTAAGAGCGCCCCGGTATCATCTGTTCTATATACCACAATTTATTTTTTTATTTTTTTTTAACGAACTGGATCGTTTCACTTCAAATTGAAAGATGTGAGGATTCCTTTTAACGAACTGGATCGTTTCACTTCAAATTGAAAGACGAGAGGACGGGAATCCTCAACAACAACCCGGGAAAAAAAAAAAAAAAAAAAAAAACTGGGACCACCAACCAGCTTAGGTGCAGGCGTTGGGTTCTCGTCCAGAAAATTCATAATCAAGGCCTTGGGCACTGGGTCCCGTTCCGGAGGGGGGAGGGAGGGGGGGGAAGAAAAAAAGAAAAAGAAAAGAGTCTTTTGATTTTTTTGACTTGAAAAAAAAAAAAAAGGAACGTGTCAGCTGATTGTTATTCAGAGTGTAATTAAGGGGAAACGGGCATTTGATTGGGACTTCAGAGCACCTGATTTGTCATCAGACTGTACTTACGTGGCCTCCTCTGATTGATTGGCCTTGAGATTGTAATTAGGCGAATCTGATTGGTATTCAGATGGGGATTTTAGGGCGCATCGGACTGCCTCTCTGATTGGTCTTCTGATAGTAATTACGCAACCTCTGATTGGTCATCGACTGTCAATTACGGGACCTCTGATTCGTCCTCAGATCGTAATTAGGCGGCCTCTGATGGGTCTTCAGAGTATAATCCGGTGGCCTCTGATTGGTCTT